AACTTTTGGTGAATGTTGGCAGCAGACATTATGAGGGAGAGTTACTACAACTGGAGCACTCAGTCTGGTGCAGCTGTGCATGGCAGCCAATCAGCTTCTAACGTAGATTGTAAGCTCCAAGGAGCAGGGCCCTCCTAACCCTCTTGTATTGATCTGTATTGTCTCCCTTTATTTTGTAAAGCACTGAGCAAACTGTTGGCGCTATATAAATCCTGTATAATAATAACTTAAGCTTGTTCAGTTAAGCTTTGACAATAAAACCCGGAAGCTGATTGGTTCCTATGCAGAGCTGCACCAGATTCTATGTGCTCCAGTCTCAGTAAATCGACCCTTGGTCATACTTGTGTCCATGATCTGACAGCTGAAAGATTTTTTTTTTCCAAGTTATCATAGGTCTCCTAGGTCTTAGAGTGTGTGCCATAAACTAAGTATGTCACCAACCCAATCAATTCAGAGAGCAAATGATGAAAAATTACACAGTATGTGCAGAAGTACTTCCATTGGAAACCACAGGACAAAATCAGTAGATTCAGAGATTAGGCTTCTAAAAACTTTGCCTTTTTCTGCAAATGTCACACTAAAGCTGACCATACACCATACAATTTTCTTATTCAATTTCCTTTAGGCTTAAATTCAGCTATGTAGTGGAAGGGCCTGCCTGATTGCATACAAAATTGAAATTGTTTAGGTTGACCTCATATTACATGGTTTTGGTAAATCTAAAGGAAGGTGTGCAAGGAAATTGTATAATGTATGGCCAGCCTTAGCCCTACTCCCTTCTACCCCCTTCTATTTTTGCATTATTGTGCCTGGATGAGATGGACATTTCTTATTGACTTTACAGGCTCCAGGACTGCAGAGGTGTGATTAAGTAACAATGGGACCAGTCTGCACAGGCTGCATCACTGGATTATCAGTCTTCCCCTGCAGAGGAATCAGCGACGGACATGTGATGGCAGAATTAGGCGAGTAAAAATGTTGTAAAAATTCATGAGGGGTTTACATTTGCCCAGTGACAAGCTTTAATATACAAGGACTAGTGATATAACTGAGATAATAATATAGTTCTCCATGTCTTATCTTTCCTTTTCAGGACGCATAGTCTGGACCTGCCAACAGCTATTCAGGAGAGCAGGAAAAATGTAAACTGTCAGCTTATGGTGTTAATGATTACAGCTGGGGAAGAGCGCTTCCATCTACAAAAACACAAGCTGACAACAGCACACACGGGCTACTATACTTGTCTGAGGCAGCCTAGTGTAGTAGTTGGTGTGCGCGGTTGTCAGCTTGTGTTTTTGTAAGTGAAAGTCATTCACAACACAAGCTGACAGTTTCCACTCTCTCTATGCCCCGATTAGCTGGTGGTGGGAGGCAGGTATGGATGCAATGTAAACTAAACAGGACAGATGGAGGCGGCAGCACTGCACAGAAATGTCCCATCTGGCTGCTTAGGAGGAGTAGGGGTTTGTGATCAGTGAACCGTTAGCCAGAAAGCCATCTCCTTTTATTAGTGTTGTTGGTTCATTCCTTGTTTCAAGTGTACAGGAGCAAGTGGTGTACAAATGCTTTAAAGTGACTTGTAAAGGCTTAACATTTTTTTTACTTTCACGCATTCTATGCAAGGTAAAAAATATTGTGTTCTGCTCTCCACATAGCGCCCCCCCCCCATTACTTACCTGAGCCCAAGCTCAATCCAGTGCTGTGTACAGGAGCCTCTGCTCCCCCACTGCTTCAATCAAGCCAGTGAGGAGTGGCTGGGCTTCAGGCCAGTATGACATGTCTGTTATTTATTTATTTAAAAAAAAAAAAAAAAGCCTTTTATTAATCACTGTAAGAGGTGACTACATGTAGAAGGTGATGTTGCTGGAGATAGAAATGCTAAAGCCTGCCAAAATATGATTTCATTTTAAAAAGAAACAGATTGTAAGGGACCACCAGGCGGTACCACTGCACTCCACTGGCCATATCTAAGCCCCAGGGTACGTGTTCCCCCCCCGAGACCCCCACCCCGTCAGTTACTTTCGCCTGGGCCCCGCAGGGAAGCTGATGTGAGGATCGGTGCCCGTCGGGATGGATGGATACAGAGCAAGTGCGGGGTCAAACCTCTGGGGACCCCCACTGCTGTCAATCATAGCCAGTGAACGGAAGTGATCCAAACAGGGCATTCAGAGAGAGGTCAGGCAAAGCAAGGGGTCTGGGCAGGAGAAGGCAACAAGGTCAGTATAATCCGTTAACTTATTTAGATTAAAAAAACCAAAACTGAATGACAGCTCAGCCTTTTAAATATCCCGCCCTGCGCTAAGATTGGTGCCACTACATGTAGAAGGTTGCGCATGTTCCTGGAGCGGACGAAATGCTCAGCCCGCATTCTGAAAGCGGTATGCGATTTCATTTTAGCGGGGATTCCTGAACAGATACACCTCACCACTTTATAAATGACTGTCAGTACTGGTTTTGGGAAGGCTTATACTCAAAATCATGAAAAAAACATAAAAATGGAAGGAACATAAATAATTATATATTACCTTGGCATTCGAAATCAGGATTACCCCAGAAAAGTTCCTGGCATTCACTGCAGTTCCTCCCTCCAAAACCAGGCATGCAATGACACTGTCCAGTGAACTGTTTAAAATGTTACAGGAATGGTTATACACTCAAAATGCTTTCAAAAATGTTTGTCTCAACATTGTTTATTATTAAGATTTTCCAATGTGTACCTCATTACAAGATGGTCCCAGAGAACGACCTGGATCACAACCACATGGCTCACAACCATTACCGCTGGCTAAATTCCAGGTATTTGGCGCACAGTGATCACAGCTCTGTCCAATCACATTCTTCAGACAAGGGCACTGGCCAGTGGTTCTATTACAGTGGCAACTGACATCTCCCTGACAGTGCTCCTGTTCAGTGCCCAAGTAATTACAGACACATTCTGGAAAGAGTAAACAGCAAAAATGCATGTTAGATGACTATCTAGCAAGCAGTATACCATTACGATTTGAACAGTTTGTTACACAGGTAAAATATACTATAAAACAGAAGAGAGCTCTTAATCAAATGATAAATGAAAATAACAGGATAACTTTTTGCCTGAAGACAAAAGGGAAAGGGAAATTAGAACAATATCCTGCTACTGAGACACAGAAAAATTGTGAGGCAAATGATCTGGGAGAGAAATAGGATAATCATTGTTGATGCAGTATCACAGTCCTGTACTGCAAACACGTGGTGGTCCTAATTTTTAAATTTTCCTATACCTAAATTAAAATTACTTATACACCCTTCATCATTCAGATTGACAAATAGCCAGTAGTTTTAAACATGCATAACATATTAGTGGGACTAATATGAATGCTACCTTAAGCATGGTAAGGATTTGTTGCCGGTAAGGATCTGTTTTCATGTGAATGTGAAAAGACACAGCAAGAGCTAATGTAATACAAGAATCCTGTACTGAAAATATATGGAGACCGTTGCTGACCTCCTTCTAAAAAAGTTATTTGCCTGGATGTTTCTGGTCTCAATACTAAACCATACCAAAATGCTGATCACAAAACTCGAGTTGAAAACTACTAATCTGCATGACAGCTAGGCAACAAGCATTTTTAGAAGTAGAAGTCAGAAATGGCAGTCTTCATACTTTCTCAGTACAGGGCTTATTTAACATATTGCATATAGATCAAAAATAGGGCTTTAAAAGCTTTGGACTTTTGTCCTCTTACAATACTCTATTGGTTTTTTTTTTTTCAATGGATGCTCCCATTCTATGGGTGTCTTGGCCCTAAGCTTTGAAGATAACAAGAAGTTCATCTTGCTGAATATGTCTATACATTACCTAAACTCTTAAGATGGTACACCCTATGATATTAACTATATCCCTTTGGCATACACAATATAAAAATCACCTCAAGTATTTTATTGGGTATATTTGACTAGGAAGTTAAGCAGTTGTTCGACCTGTGCTATCTACTCATATACCTGTAATGCACTGTTAAGTGTTCTAATCTCTGTATGGAAACCTAAATGATGCAATATCATAAGACCAGGTACACACTGATACAGTGTGGGAAAGCTGCACAGCATTGCAATCGCATGGCATTCATGCGATTTTGTGCGGGTGTCAATGTTAAAATTACTGACACCCTGAAGCAGATCACAAAATGCAATGTAACTGCCAGAAACTGCAATGCATGTGTGAGAACAGCCATGCTATGCGATTCAGGTGCGGTAAAAAAAAAAAAAAAAAAAAAAAAAAAAAAAAAAAAAGGATCCTGCACCTCTTTGGTGAGGATGTGATGCGATTTGAGCCAAAAAAATGTATGGCTCAAATTGCACAGCACAAACATCGCATGTGGTTCGAAACACAACTAATTACACCGGGTTTAGTCCTACACCGCATTAGTCTAAACCCGTGTCATAGTTGTGTTTCATATGATCTGTTTAATAAATTGTTGAAACAGAAAAGCTCTGGACCTTGCAGCCAAATGCAATTTTTAGTTAAAAAATTACTTACTTTTACAATCCTGATGAATGGCACTGCCATAGTATCCCAGACTGCACTGTTGGCAGCTTTCACCCTCTGTGTTATGAAGGCACTTAAGACATACTCCTGATTGCTTATCACAAGCCAGTGGATCAGAAATATCTATGTTATTATTGCAATTACATGGCTGACAGATACCACCATTCTGTTCTGGGTTTCCATAATAGCCAGATGCACAACCGTCACAGCGAACACCTACAGAGTAAAAAAAAAAAAAGACCTCTAAAGATATCTAAAGTGGCCACTTGCATAACATTTAAATATTGTTCTTAGAAATAAAATAAAAATGAACATCATCCAATGGTGAAAACAACTTTTCTTTATTAAGTGGCTACATACCAGAATATTGTATTATACTTTGGTAGTCATTTTATTGATCATTATGTCCTATTAATGAATGTAATGTAAGAATTTCTAACACTACACTTACAGCATTACTGTATGTTTAATAAGACTAAAATATAATAAAACACTTACCTGTATATCCTTTATTACATGTACATACAACATGCTCAGACGTGGGGTCTTTATAACATCCACTTGCAAACTGGCGTCCACTTCCGGGTCCATCTGGACATGGGCATGGTCTGCAGTGATCACCCGAACCAAGCCTGGGATCTCCATAATAACCAGCCAAACATCTAGAAAATGAAAAAGATTAATCAAGCAGCTCTAGAAAATAGTTCATGATCACATCATCAACATTGCATTAACCCTCCGTATTTTATTTCACTCACCTGCCCAGTTACAAATGTGACCAACATTAACAAAAAAACAAAACAAAAAGTATACTAGGTTATTGATACCTATATAGTGGATTAACTAAACCTACCTTTCACAGCTGTAACCTTCAGTGTGATCTCTGCAGCTGGTGCACTGTCCAGTAAGGGCATTACAATCATCAGCATGTCCATTACATTGGCACTGCTGACAGTTTGGGAATCCCCAGTAGCCAGGTAAACATGCGTCACACTGTCTTCCATAGGCTCCATGGATACACGGACACTGGCCGGTTTCAGGGTGGCAGAAGGAATGAGAAGATCCTTTAGGACTGCAGTCACAAGCTTAAAAAAAAATACAAAGAGATTAAACTACTGTGTATATATGGAGCATCATTTAAGAACACTTGTCCTACACTGCTAAAGTTCTTTCAAAGTAGCAGATTTAAGTCTACGACCGTCAGCTACTGCCCACAACCTTGGCAGCCAATATGAGAAGCCATTCCTTCCTGCACTTTGTTGTAGGACATCTCAAGATTATCCGCAGAACACGAATCTTGACTTTTACAAATTTTGTGAAACGTGGCGGACTATTCTTCCTCATGCACACAGGACATTAAACAAAAAAAAAAAAAAAAAACACCTAGAAGCCTTCCTCCTGGCAGCAGCATTTCTGCAGAAACAAAAAAAAACACCTGACGCTTGTAAAAGTTCTAACGCATTTACAAGCATTTATGCTCATTTACAAATGTCAAACACTTGAGCGTTAATTCATTTCATTGGTCAGAATAATAATTTATGCTGGCCATTGAAATTAACACTCAAGCGCTAAACGTGCCAAGCAGTAACACGTGTTTAGACAAGTTTGGTTAAGCTTTTTTTCTGCCAAAACGCTGCTGCTCCTAGATGCACTGGGCCTAGGCTTCTTGCTGGTAAATGCTACTGCTACTGCTACTAAAAGCTTCTAAAAGTCTATGTGTACATCGACACATAGGATAACATGGAGGGCCATTTGGAAGCAGTAAAACAAAAAAAGAAACCGCCTGACGCTCCTAAAAGTGGCTGCAAAAGCGCCCTGTGTGCATGAGGCCTTCATCAACTGGAAGTTGCATACTGCAGGTATATATGGATTTTTGAGGGCTGCCAGCATGTCCTGTAGCAGAGTAAAGAAAACCCACAGACTGCCACCATGTAGTCCCTTAAATTGGTTAACAAGTTTAGTTTGGCAGTAGCGATATATACACTTTAAATTTGGGAAACAATAAAGACTTTCAAGTTTAAGTCCAAACAATGACATACGTTTGCATCCATTAGGCCCAAAGCCATAGGTTCCAAGTGCACATTTATCGCAATTCCGTCCAACCACGTTTGTCCGACAATCGCACTGCCCTCCATTCGGGTTACATACAGCACTTAATGATCCTTGAGGGTCACACCGACATTCTGGATAGGAAATATAAGATAAGGGAACAATGAGAATGCTAACTGGGAACACCTATATACAAAACAATATGGTATATGCAATAAAAATAAGACCAACAACAACAACCACCAATCAAGTCAGCTAATGTCTGTTCTCCTAAAAGGTGTTTACATTTAATTTGCTAATTCAGATAGCTATATGGCTAGGCTATCAGTAAGGATGTGGTTACACATTTGATTAAAGACATATAATACACTGACTTTTTTTAGTTTCGTCACTGCAAAAAGCCATTTTTAACTTTGCAGAACATGCTTATATTTTACCAATCTCTGTGTATTCTAGAGGGCCATACAAGCTTGACCAAAATTAACCCCTCTATAAAAAGGGTCCATCCTGTCTTCTCCATTCCAATAACAAGTAAAATGTGCAAATGAAGTAAAATTGACTCTAAAACATAAAGAACCCACAAAACAAAAAAAAGAAAGAAAATGACAGTCTGTCCACTTTGAAAAGTGACTAGAGCTATGAAGTCTATTGATATCTACCACTACTACTACGAATAGTTGTGAAACTAACACGTACCCAGGGCCCCCTCATGTAGCAGGGCTGAGATACTGAAGAGGTATTCTTTGCAGACATCTGTGAGAGGAGTTTTCACAACACTTTGACTGTTCTCTGTACATCTGTATCTCTCGAATGTCTTCCAGGCATTGCTGACATCATCTCCTGAGCCTCCAGAGCCGAATATGTCCAGGGACTTTACATGAGGCAGCAGAACAATCTGTAGAAATCAATTTATATCTTCAAACCAAGTCTCTGAGCATTATATAAAATAAGTCAGAGAACAAAAAATGTAACGAAGTTGATGTGTGAGAATATAAAAGCCTTAAACCACTTAAACAGGGAAGCATCTAAATAAAGACTTTATCCCTGCCAAAATATAGGTTACTTTAAAACCTCTGCAAACAGTATACTTAAAAGTAAATCACAGAAAAGCAATTTAAGTCCTTCAGTAAGAGATGCACAAGTAGAGATGAAAGTACTGAAGTTAGCAGCGACACTAAAATCCTGCTAATGCTCATTCTAGACTATGGTCTGGTAGAATGATCATATCACACGTGGGATCTTACCCAAAGCTGCAAAAAATTAGGTATCAAGCTCAATATGTAAACTAAAATTAGCGTTCTTAAAAAAAAGAAGACTAAAAGAAAAAATGACAAGGTCCCAGGCTTCATTTTGTGAATAAACAGGCAGACAGTGAGGTGGAGACACAACCTCAGAACATTAGGATCCATGTGATCTGTAATGCCTATACCTGAGTGGTTGGAAGTACAGCGAAAGCTGTACTAATCTCTGCATATAACATAACAAGCAGTTTTTCGGGATGTAAAAGAAAGCCAACATGAGAGGAGATAGCCTGGAGTAAAACTGCTTCAACCCTGTGCTCAGAGATGAGCTTTAACTATTGCTTTGTAAGGGGAATCTAGACCCTGTCCCACAAATCATAAGTGTGACACACTGCAACAAACAGATAACATATTTTGCCTGTTTTAAAACTATTAAAAGAAAAATAATTGTGAGATCTAGATAGAAGTTACATGACAGCCTCAGGATTGATTAATCAGCCATCCTCTTTTACCGCTGTATAAATCAATATAGTAGAATACTTGATGATCTACCTCTACGTAGGCCATTTCCAATCACTGATATTAAAGCATTTATACAGTGCTCTTGCAAAAGTAATCAGAACAAATATTTACTTACAGAATCAATTAATGTGTAGGGATTTTCTACATTAGAGTTGACTGAATACCGTGGCAACTCCAGTCGTATGGTGTAATTCAGACCTTTCTCAAAGCATATAGGACGAGGAAGAACTATATACCTAGAAGTACAATAGATAACATGACAGATTGTACCAATTCTGGATCCAAATCACTTTAGCACACAATAACCCTCTTTTAATAACCTCAATAAATATATATATTTAGCATGCTATTAAAGAGATATGGACTGCAGAGAGAGAGAGAGACATATTTTACCCCTGTACAAATCATTAGTACGACCTCACCTGGAATATGTTGTTCAGTTTTGGGCACTAGTTCACAAAAGGGATATTGGGGACTGGAGAAAGTGCAGAGAAGTGCAGAGAAGGGCAACCAAACAGATAAGAGATACAAGTACAGTTATGAGAAAATATTAGAGAAATTGAAAGTATTCTCTCTTGAGAAGAAGAGATTAAGGGGGATATGATCAACATGTATAAATACATCAGTGGTACATATAGTGACCTTGGTGTAGAGCTATTCACCCTGAGGTCATCACAGAGGACAAGGGGGCACTATTTATGTCTGGAGGAAAAAATATTTAATCTCCAAATATGAAACAGGCTTCTTCACAGTAAGAGCTGTGAACATGTGAAATAGACTCCCTCAAGAGCTGGTTCTGGCCAGCACAGTAGACTGTTAAAAAAACAAAAAAACAAAAGAAAAGGCCTGGATTCTTTCCTAAATGCACATATAACTGGATACAAAATTTTATAGGTAAAGTTGATCTGGGGAATATTCATTTGCCTCTTTGGGGATCAGGGAGAAAATTGGAGAAAACTGCTGGAGCAAACTGGATCATGCTTTATTGGGTTTTTGTGCCTTCCTCTAGATTAGCTGTGGGTATGGGATTGTGTATATGGAGGTTTTCTATTTGTATGTGTTTTTTTTTTCTCTGCTGGTTGAACTGGATGGATTTGTGTCTTTTTTTTAACCAAATTAACTATGTAACTATATTTTCAGGATTTTGTGACATATACTTATTAAAGCAGAAGTAAACCGCAAAACAATAAAATGTAATATAATCTTCTCCCTGCAAGTTAAGAGCCCAATGTGCCATTATGCATTGCATACTAGCACATTATGAAAGACTTACCTGAAAATGAAGCCCTCCAGCGGAGCACTGTCTCAGCTCCCTGGGCTTTCATCTTCACCCAGTCTTCCTTCCAGGTTTGTGGGATGAGGCTGACTAGCCGAGATGTGATGACGTCACTCCCACGCATGAGTGCAGGAGCTTTGGCATGGCTCTCTCAATGGACAGCACGCCATCCATTAAGAGCACAGTGTGCATGCATCAGTGACATCGCAGGCGCTGCTAAAGTAAATATTTCCTAAACAATGCACATTTAGTAGATATTCACTGTACCTACAGGTAAGCCTTATTATAGGCTTACCTATAGGTACAAGGGAAAAAAAAGACTATACTATCATTTTAAGAAAATATTAAAATGTTTGGAAAAGAGATACTTTGAACAATTTCTACAAAACACAGTTGAAAAACAAGCCTTACAAAATACAAATTCAACCAGTAATATTTTAGGTACATGTACTACTGTATTAACATCTCCATCAATATGATCAAAATCACTAACTGTTCGAATTGGATATTACATTTTAAAAGGTATACATAGATTTAATCACAGTGACCAAGTTCAAATCACAAATATTATATAGATGTTAATTCCTGATCATGCATGACCTATGCATTGTCTCTATTTCCCAATTACCTAGATCCTGGTGGTAATGCTACACTCTGGTTGTCATCACTAGGGATGGTATTACCACATCTACTGCTTGTGGGAATTTTCCCTGGACGAATAACTGTTATCACTGCTTCTTCCCATTGTTCTGGGAGCTGAGGATGATAAAAGAAAAAACATTCCAAATAAAATAACAACCATTCCAAAAGGATCATTAGCATGAAGTTAGCATGGAGGAAAGTATGACAAATGTATGTGTATTTTTGTAATTATTTGTAATTATTGAGATTACCATTATCTTGAATGCTCCATATACTATTGGTACAACCAATTTCCATAAAGATTATTTTCTAATACATCTCACATGCACGGTTAATTCTGATATGTATATCCTGTATGTTGTAGAGCAGCTAACTGAAATAGGTTTAATTTACCCATATATCAACTTAGTATCTGCAAGATTTATAGACTATCTGCTGATAAGTAGCCCGTGTACAGGGTGCAGATACATTTGCCTTCCAATCAATATCTACATTGATGTGAAGTCAGGGATATGTAATGTCTGATTGCATAATTATGTGGATAACTCTTCAAGTAAATTTTACAGCTTTGCCCATACACACAAGGCTACATCTGCTCAAAGTGGAACTAAAGTCCACCTGTACATACCTCCCTTCCAGCAAAGCAATGCCTGCAAGCTCCCTTGCTGGTGCCAACATCTTCATCTATTCATCTTTAGTCATCTTGACTTGCTGGCCGGGGATGATGCAACTCCCAAGCAAGTGCAAAGGAATTAATTAATCCTTGAACCAAGGCATACTGAGAATGTACTCCAAGTTCTGCATACACAGCTCACTGAACTTTCTAATGAGTTTTGTGAGCAGGCAGGTAAAAGGCTTTTATTGTAGAATAGACCTATTTCTCTATTCACAAAGCTCACAGGAGAAGTATCCTTAAGGGGACTGTTTTCATTCAAGCCATACACTGCTCTAATGTGGGCTGATTCCTGCTGGCTCAGTCGAACTTTCAGTAGTTTATGCTCCTGCCGTCATCGCAAGGTTCAGCAAATTGATTGTTCAATTGACTGTCTACTGCCTCTCAGAAAATTGTCGGGTGAACAAAGTCTACATCCAATCAGATGCAGGCACTGTTCATGTGTTCTGACAACTGCCCCGGCTGTCAGAATACATAATCCTGACAGGGGAAGTTCATCCATTCCCTCTCTTAGCCTGCAGGCTGAGCTAACAGAAATTTATATGTGTAGGGGAAGAGAGGAGGGGATAGAGTTCCTTGTTAAGTTAGGGCATGACCACCGACATAAATTAGAGACAAAATCAGATGCCCATCCAGCATTGTTTAATAATAAAAAAAAAATCTCTACATACAACCTAAGGTCATTTATTAATTGTAGTGCAGATTCCTATCTGTTCATGATAACACAATACACTCCCTTTTATAAGTTTTGATTGACTAACCTGTGGTTCATAGCGGATTAAAAGATCATACTCCATTGAGACTGGAATATTATTAATGTGAAACTCCAAGTATCCTCCTTCTGGAACATGGGCAAATCCAGGTCCTGTCCAAGATGGTGTGCGATCCTGAGGGAGCATGCGTCCAACAGTTCTCACGCCCTATTGATTGAAAATAAATCATAAACAGCTTGTAAACTGATGTTTTTAGTAATAAAGTCACAAATTTACAGGATACTGGAAAGTACTTACAGGGCCATAATCTGCATCCTCTGCTTCATAGATGTAATGGTCTAAAGAGATGAAATAAAAGCCAGACTCCACTTCATTGCACTGACGACCAATCATGTGCGGTCTACAGCGACATTGGCCCGACTCAGGTGAACAGCTGCAAGGTGAATAAAGCAAGACAAATTATTTTAGCACTGGTTCTATAAGGCAAATTGCTCAAAACAGAGCTGGGAAACTATACACAATTAAAAAGGTAGATTTCAGCATAAGGAAACTATCATGGCAACAGAAATAGTTTTCTATAATCTTTTTGTTCTTGTAGAAAACAAAGGTAGCCATATTCAGAAATTAAACCAGTATGTAAAAATTAAAGAATTACATTGGATGTCAAAAGAAAAATGTCAGAAATACTTCAAGAGGTTCTCTTTTTGTTCCTCTAACAATGCGCTCACAATTAAATCCATGCAGAAATTTTTGAGGGTGTTAATAAGGATTCTAAAATCCATATAATAAGTATTTCATAGTAAAAGGGAAAAGTGGACCTATGGCTTACATGTTATCCAATGCTCCACCACGGTCACAGTCACAAGGTCGACATCCATCCAGGTCATTGCTCAAACCCCAGAATCCAGGCTGTTTAAAAAATTCAAAGGCTGGTTAATAACAGAATAGTCACACATTCCTTAAACATTCAGCATTAGACAAGGACCACTGTGTTTTTAGTAAGACATACAAACAGTGGCATGACATTTTTCTAGCAATGGGACCTACAGTTAGAGGAAACACAGTATGTTAATTAAATATCCACTGAAACTTTTGTACAAGGGAACCTGTGTGGATAGGAATAAGAGAGCTGCTGTAGCTGAAAGGGCAAGCTATATAACTGTCATCCAGAACTTGGCTTGTACTTGTTACGTACAATCATGCATCAGAACAGTTTCAACTTTTCACACTATCTTGTGACTAAGTCAGGGAATCACCCAAAATGCTGGGATGATGTGTGGTGCAGTGCACAAAATTGCAGATATGCACAGGACTGGATGGCACCACAGGGCATTGTGCTGCTGTGCGGGTATTTGAATGGTGTACACATTTTGTACAGGTCAAATTAAGTTAAAAAAAAAAATAAAATTAAAAACTACTTTACGTTTTCAAAATAGAAACCAGATCATTTGCACCAACATCAATAGCTTAAGATAAAATATCAGCAAGTTAATCCTACGGGTCCAGCGTTATCTTTCCACAACTTGGCTCTTCAAATGCTGCTACACAATGGAAACTAGCTGCATACTAAAACAAATGTTTTAGAGCTTAGACAGGTGAATAAGCTCTAAAGAGTAACCGCACACCATATATTCTAGTATCATTAAAAAAAAAAACGTATATATCCAGGTAGCTAAACAAAATCCTCTGATGTGTTTCATGTGACATGTGGGCCTGGTGGTAGAGATCACTACAATTTCAAGAATAATATAAAATTACATGTATTCAAATTTTTGGGGAACACTGGATTATAATATGTGTGGCTATGAATCCTTTATGCTATCTATGGTACTTTTAATGACTAGTCAGCAGTAACAATTAACATATTTCTATCATGTTAGATTTGTATATCACAGGTCAGGCATCAGTCATTAGGTATTTGGTTGTGTGTACATATAAATTGCCATTCAGCTTCATAGTATAGAATATATTGAAAACATGACCCTATAACTTTAGAACTCTGCACTATTCCTTTCATTTGTCTAGCCATACTATATCATCAAAAAATAGTTTTTCTGATTATTTTGCTTAATGTTTTTCTTCTTATGTAACATATTTGACAGTTATAGGATTACTTAAAGATTATTTTTGGAATCTGTACGGCATCCACAATAATGCAACCTAAACTATTTTACAATGTGTGCTGCTTTTTCAGCATTATGATATTCTTTGTTTTGGTGAGCAGACTTTTATATACACATCACTAACACAGGATTTCCCAGCATACTTACCAGCCAACCTACAAAACAACCACATTGGCTCTGTCTAACAGTTTCCGTTAAAAACAGAGGGTTTTGTTTGCACATATTTGCAAATATATGCGTAAGCTGCAGTGCCCATGTCAAGGGACCTTTGTATATATTGCAGTCCTAACTCTAAATTTCCAGAGCTCCATAGTAGGAGCACATATAAGTATGGAAAGATTAGGGGCAGGTATGCCTGCAGGAAGCCTACCCCTCCTAAAGGCACAGGGATGCATGTGACACCCAGCAAGAGCACAATGGCAGCGAAGGCATCACATGTCTCCCTGTGTCCAATAACATGCATCGTTCAACAGGATTTAATGCAGTATATGTTTGTTTCCTTCCTTTGCTGCCCTATCTTATTTATGTAAAAAATATTGGAATCAAAATAACACAAAATTAAAAAGCTGACATATTTTTACTACCATGCACTGGTCACACTGCTTCCCCATTACGAAACGTTTGCAATAACAGTTTCCTTCTACTGAGTCACATGAATTGCCACCAGGAATAGTTCCTAGAGGATTGCATCCACAAGCTAGAAGACAGGAAACAAATACAAATGTTTGTCAATTGTTTGAGAAGATATCATCCAAGTGAGTAACAAATTAAAAGAATTCTTACGCTGGCATCCATCTGGATCTTCTGCATTTAGGTCATAGTAGCTTTCCTTGCATCGATCACAGCGTTCTCCCTCTATATTCGCCTTACATCTACATTGGCCGGCAATAAGTCCCACAGAGAAGTCTGAATAACGGTCGCATATGCCACCATCTTGAGATCCAGCTGGGTCACAATTACAAGCTGGAAAAAAAATGTTTCCAATCAGTAACATTATTCGCTTTTGGTCACAAAGCTGTTTTCTAGAGTAATGCATGTCTACAGATTTCTAGATCACATTGAATTGAATGTATTTTCAGATTAACCTATTGAGTAGAAGTTTACAGACAGGTTTATTTTTTTTTTTACGTTTTCATTTTTTTTTTCCTAATGAAAAAAATGTGAAGAGCTCTAGGAAAGTTGCAAAGAATAGATCCTTATAAAGCCATAAACACCTCTCTCCTAAGACATCAACCGAATAAGACAAACAATAGCTGCTGTGAGTAACAAGATGGAGGGCTGCCAAAAAAACAGACCAAAAGGAGTTTTCTTTTAAAGCATCATACTTACGTTGACAGATGTTTGGGTCACGTATGTCTTTGTCTGGATGCTGATAGAAGAATGGCTTGCACTGCTCACAGTTCCGTCCCATTGTGTTATGCTGGCAATCATCACATACACCACCACTTGTATTTCCAGTTGACATGTATACAGCCATGTCAAAGTGACATTTTGTAGAGTGCTCATTACAGTTGCATTCTGCAGAAAGATGATGCAGTTTAATGAGCAAAATTATTAAGGGCAGAGCCATTTAAATAAAAGTGACAAACCAACAACTAAAGAAAACTGGTGATTATAAACTCCTGTTGTGTGAGATGCGGTCTTTTAACAAGTGATTGACTGACATTTCAGTCTATTGTTAGTCAAAGGGGATCAAATTCCAAGAAATGAAAACTGATGTCAGTGAAAAAAGTTACTAGCTGCCATCCTATGAAAACAAAAATTTATGATCTGTGAACTCACTTTTACAAGCATTACTGCTACGACCTTCTGCTGGTCTCCATGGCAAATCGTGATAAAAGTCCATACACTGTTCGCAGTTTAAACCTATTGTATGATGTCTACAAACACAGCGTCCATGTACCTAGAATGCAGGGTTAGAAAGAAGTGCTTATCTACATCCAAACTACTCAGATCATTCAACATATTAAAAAAAATATTTAAAATGTCTGTGCTTTAAGCTAAAATAAAATTTACAACACCCCCCCCCCCCCCATCTTTCAAGTTAGAGGCATGCTTATTTATGTATTTTGACATTGGAGACTTACACCAGAGGATCTGACATCTCTACACGATACATGCAAGTATAATTTAGATCTCCTTGACTACAGCTTGTAAACTGAAGAGTCACGCTAACTTCACAAATAGAAGTAGAAGGTTCTGCAAGTCTTAGAACATTACTTTGTTTTTCCCCACATCAAAGTAGCCATACACACGAAAAGATGGTAGTTCACTTTACCTTGAGGAGCAATCTCAATTATGTGGGCATTACTAGAAATCTTTGATGAATAGTCATTCTCATTTTTGTCCATTGTTTGATAAGGTTGAAGATGGTCTGCAAGGGGGATTATTCTCTCACCAAAGCATGGACATGCATACTTGGTATGTAAATGAGCTAACAAAAGATGGAGAAGCCCAAGTGCCATCAGAGTGTGCCCACACATTTGGATCCATTATATTGTCAATGGGCAGCGTTGAGTTTACAAAACAGGAGAACATTTTCAAAAACCAACTCCAATATGATCTACAAATTTGAACCATGCATATTTCAATAATAAAATAGATTCCTTTAATATTATGCACAGCTACACTAGATTCTGTGTGCACCAGTCTTAGTAAATACCCCCCCCCCCCCAATTTTCCCCACGCTATCAAAAAAAAAAAAAAAAAAGTTATAGTTGCACATTAGGAAAATCATTTATGTCAACTACCCCTGCATAATATTAATATGAGGACAAGCTTTATGCCATAGTGATAAGAGAAAAGCAAACTGTAGACTAGAATTACCATTCCTTCCATGTTGTCAAAATATCCATTTACAGGTGCGCATTCACTAGCATGTCCATAGCAGAAACAGTTACCACGGACAACCATATCATAAATGGCATAGTAGTATTTCTCCTTTATTTCAACTCTTGAATCCAAAAGGTTATCGCCCAAAGTGTGCAGTTTTAGAAACTTTATTCTTAAGTTTGTAATTCTTAACAAGCCTTGGAAAATAGAAATTGTATATGAAATATAAAGTTAATTAGCAGGATAAAAAAAAAAAAAAAAAAAAAAAAAAAAAAAAAAAACACACACACACACACACACACGTATTCAATGTAAACTGGTAAAACAAAAAGGCAATGTTAACAACAATGAAAAATTACATTGGGCTTGCTTGTATTTTGTAACGTAGAATAAAAATTTCTGCTAGTGCCTACGGATCGTAAGCACATATAGGAATATATACACAAACCAAAATGCAAGATAAAAAACATCTGCCCATGGTCTTCAAATCAATGACTAACTATGACTTTCCTTTGAGAGTTGGCAAATATTATACTAAGCTCAAGTTGTAGGGAAAATCCATATAGAAAGGAGCACAACTGTCTGTTTATCCAAAAGGGAAACTAAACTGTATTCAATGCAATTCACAGTTAACTGAATAGGTTTGGTAAAGGCATTTAAAAAAAAAAAACTAAAGTTTTTGAATGCCTGCACTGAAAATTTGGTTAAAAAGGTATCTCTTACATTTTTGCCTTTCATACTGCTATCGAGGCTAACCTGGATCAACCCCTTACTTTTATCAAGGACAGTTGTCTTTTCCTGAAGTGTTAATACATTGAGCCAAAAATACATTTATAAAAAGAGCACATCTAGTGTTTATTAGTAAACTTATCACATTTCTTATCAGACATTTGAGACTGTATGAAGCTCTCTACAGCCTTGTTCCACAAAATTGCTCATATGTGGAGCAGAGGGGAAAAACAACTACTACCTTGACAATAAAAACTTTAATTCTTTAATATTATTTCAGGTAGGATATTTTATAAAAGTGATTAGAGTTTATATTAGAAAAAAGATAAATAATGAAACCAGATTGAACATTGTTTTATCACAATACAAGGATAACTGAACACAAGCAGCGTAAAATTAAATGTCCTACCATGCTATCATTCATTATCCAACCAAGAATTATTTAAATATTTTCCACTTTAATTTCTATTTTAATAAATGCATTAGTGGCAGCTTTTCAGACTAGACTTATAGAACACCTATATTTAGGTTTCTGAAAGCAACGACTGGCCTTTAAGTTGATTTTTAAGTTGGTTGTCAGTTTATTCCTTTACCTTTCACAGTGAACTGTTGAAAACCAGTCAAAACGTTCACAACCATAGATAAAGGAATTATTTGGGCAATGGATAATCTAGTTTTACAGGAAAAACAAACATTAAACAAAACATTGGATGCCTTACTTTTAATCCTAAGACTGTATGGATCATCAATACGAAAAGCTGGATCCAGGACACGATATATAACCTGTGATACAAGTAAAGATGATTAAACAAAATAAAAGCATACATTTATGTTAATGTTGAAAACATACTAAAAAAAAAAAAAAAAAAAAAAATAAATACCTCTCCCTCTGTAGAGGGTTCAATGTCAGAGTATCGAGAGTCACAGATGACATCATCAACTTTTTCATTGGCCCAACAGAGACTCCAGGAAATGACGACTCACAATCGTATGCAAAATATCTGTAGGTGTTCCATGTTTTACCAAAGTCTGCTGATCTTTCAATTAACATTGCAGCTGGCCGGAAGGTCTACGGAAATCAAGATGTTTTCTATTAACAAACATCTGCTTGTAAAACTTAAGTGTTTAAATGCGCATAGTTTGACCACATAATACTCCTGGCAAAACAAAGTCCAACATGGGTGCCTGCCAAAAACACAAGGGTATTGCTAAACTATACTGCGCCTATAATGTAGCATAATATCTACAAGCCATATGTTAATTCCAGACATCTGTTTGGAAGCCAGACAAAGACATTTTGTATGCATAACTTCTGTGTCCAAAAACAAAGAATGCTTACATAAATGGTTGTCTGAAGTCAAATCATATATACAAATGAAATATCCTGCATCCTTTCCTGGGTATGTAAAAAAAGAAAAAAAAAAAACTAACTGTTTTGAACTCATTTCTACAATGTATCTTGAATATTCTCATTGTACAACATACAGTGTCCCCAACAATGGCCCCCTCTATAATCTAATTATACACTGGTAGCAATTGTGTTTGCTAGGGGAAGTCATGGATTCCTAACCTTAAAGGTCATGATGAGATGAGTGAAATGGAATTCTGCTTCAAGATCCAGCTGGATTGTGACATTTTCCACACCTTCATGAGAATAAAAAAAAAAACATTAGTGTCCGGTTTATGCCTTCTAAGACCGCCTGTTAAGAGCTGCCTCATTTGAGAAAAGAATATAGTCACTTAGTTTTCTTCTATCTATGCCAAGTCACATGCAATAAAATATTATAATAGGGATATGCTCCATTTCTCATTTTATAAGTGTATTACAGGTGTCTATATAGGGCAACAATTTACACAGTGCTTTATACATATTGTACACACATCAGTCCCTGCCCTCAAGGAGCTTGTCACCTAAATCTGGCCATACATAGTTTGGGTTTTTTTTTCAGCCAGTGGGCTCAATGAAAAAAAACTGAATCAAATTCCCCATCCACACATTCAGAGTGTATGGGGGTAGTATCCTTCCTGCTGCATTATTGTATTTTGACACTGCCAGAGTAAACAGATTAGTGTTGCAACCACTGGCTGCAGCGGCTGATGAAGCGGCTTTTATTTTTCATCAGGGCAGTTGAACAGAAGTTGATCAGTAGTTTGAACTTCTGTTCAACTGCAGTAGCCACACATAGATCAATATTCAGCCGATCCCTGCTGAACCAGCCAAATTTTGATCCATTACCCTTAGTGAATGAAGGTAGAAAAAAATTTTTTAAAAAAATAATATAAAAATGTGACCAGACCCAACACAGTAATCAAAACTATGATTAAGGGATTAAAAAAGTCCCCCCAAAACTCTACGTTATTAAGCCAAGCCTTACCATTTTCTGACTGCCACCACAAATTAAGGCGATTTGGATCAAAAGTTGTGACTACATTTTCAATGCGATGACTTTCTGTATTATCCACAGCATTATATGGTGTTCGTGAGTCACATGTGAAACATTTCTTTTCATCCTGGGAAAGATAAACACAGGTTTCCATGTTACTAGAAAAAAATGTGTATTTTTCACACTTTTTCAGTGATTAGAAAAAAACAAGTGTGAATGGAGCTTGATAAGGATATATTATGACAAAAAGAGGTAACAAAATATATAGGAAGAATAAGTGAGATACAACAAACTGAGAATGAAATCAACACAACATCACTAGAGATGAGCGAATCGAACTAGGCGAAGTGGAATTCTTTTCGAATATTAGGAAAATTTTGATTCGCGACGAATCCGAAAATTAGCATACTTCGGATGCGCGAATCGAAATTTTTCCTAAAATGGCGGCGACATGTGCGGCGACGGAGCGGGGATATCTGGGAAGGCGCGCAGACAAGGCGCGCTGACCCATAATGCATTCATTCATGACATGTGATCGCATTAGCCAATCAGCAGCCAGCCAGCCAGCACTGCACTGTAATGGTCGAGCTATAAATGGCGGCCATTTTAGAATTCTCCATTTGCCTCCAGTCATTCAACAGAGGCAGACCTGGCTGTATTGAGGGAGAGAGTTAGGGACACAGAAACGTTACTTAGGGCCACAGAAACGTTACTGAGGGACACAGAATTGTTACTGAGGGACACAGAATTGTTATTGAGGGCCACAGAACCGTTACTTAGGGACACAGAAACGTTACTCAGGGACAGACACAGAATTGTTACTGAGGGACACAGAATTGTTACTGAGGGACAGACACAGAATTGTTACTGAGGGACAGACACAGAATTGTTACTCAGGGACAGACACAGAATTGTTACTCAGGGACACAGAATTGTTACTGAGGGACACAGAATTGTTACTCAGGGACAGACACAGAATTGTTACTGAGGGACACAGAATTGTTACTGAGGGACACAGAATTGTTACTGAGGGACACAGAATTGTTACTGAGGGACACAGAATTGTTACTGAGGGACACAGAATTGTTACTCAGGGACAGACAGAATTGTTACTGAGGGACAGACAGAATTGTTACTGAGGGACACAGAATTGTTACTGAGGGACACAGAATTGTTACTCAGGGACACAGAATTGTTACTCAGGGACACAGAATTGTTACTCAGGGACAGACACAGAATTGTTACTCAGGGACAGACACAGAATTGTTACTCAGGGACAGACACAGAATTGTTACTCAGGGACAGACACAGAATTGTTACTCAGGGACACAGAATTGTTACTCAGGGACACAGAATTGTTACTCAGGGACACAGAATTGTTACTCAGGGACACAGAATCGTTTAATTAAAGAGTATGTCAGACAACATGCAGAGGAATGGCAGAGGAGGCAATGTTTTAGGAGCGAGCAGACGTGGCAGCAGAGGAAGGGGTCGAGGCAGCACTAGTCGCAGCCAGAGGCCATTGCTCCCGGTGTCATCCAGCGGTCGTGTCTCCACCGACAACCCTGCCATCATCGATTGGTTGGCTCGGTCGTCTTCCTCTTCCCAGGTCACCTCTGACACCTACAGCCAACGGTCGGTGGGTACGTCAGACACAACCGTTAGTTGGCATGGCCCGGGAGCAAGCCCACTGAAATCACGTGTCCTCGACCTGCCCCTGTCCTTTGGTGTTCCCTCACCAAGCGAAGTATCGCATGCTGTGGGCTCAGCCCCACTGTACAGTGAGGAAGAGCTAACAGAGGCGGTCAGGAACGGGGGAGACATCCGCCTCTTCAGCAGCCAGGCGAAGAAGTAGTGGGCGAGGAGAGTGGCTCGGTAGCCGGTCTAGAGACAGGTCTGTCTCCTGACCCACACGCAGCCGAGGGGGCTAGTAGTGAGGCGGAGACCCTAATTGATGATGATGAGGCTGATCGCACTTGGCAGCCTCGTCGTCATCAGGCTATTGCTTCCGCATCATCAGGAGAAGAGGGTGGCAGCTTGGCAGCGAGCAAAACAGTCGGTGGGTTGCCCAGGAGGCAGCAGGGTCGCAGCAGTGTCAGTGGAGGCAAACGGCCACGGAGTAGAGCACCAGCTCCACTGCAGCCTACCACCGCGGCCAGTAGTGGTGCCGGTGTGCACGGAGGAAGTAGCAGTCAGCCAGTGAGGAGTATCGGGGGCAAAGTTTCCTACTCGGCGGTGTGGCAATTTTTTTTCGTCAAGCCGCCCGAGGAAGTAAACGTAGCCGTATGTCGACTATGTGGCCAGAAAGTCAAGCGTGGCCAGGGGGCCCATGTTGGGACTACAGCGTTGCGTCAGCATATGCAGCGTCGCCATTTGGTGGCCTGGGAAAACCGTGATAAAGATATGGCGGTTCTGCCCCCCAGCCCCAGCTCCCACCCGCTCCGTTACTTGCTCCGTCACCCGACGTCAATCGCCCTCTATCAGCCAGTCAAGGCTCCAACACCTCTGCTGAGGGGAGTGTCGCTCGTTGGCATCTTCCGCTCGTTCAGATGCTCCTTCTCCTGCTACTCCTCTTCACGGATTCCGTCAGCAGTCTTTCTTGGAATCCGTTTCCAAGAGACAACAGTTTGCGAGCACGCACCCGACGGTGCAAAAGCTGAACGTCCTCCTGTCCAAGTTGCTGGTGCTGCAGTCCCTCCCTTTCCAAGCGGTGGACTCAGCACCTTTCCGAGAAATGATGGCTTGTGCCGCGCCGCGGTGGAGAGTGCCAAGCCGGCATTTCTTCGCCAAAAAGGCAGTGCCAGCCCTGCATTCACATGTAGAATAGATGGTGGGCCAGTCTTTGAGCATGTCGGTCTCTGCCAAAGTGCACGGCAGCGCCGACGTGTGGAGCTGTAACTACGGTCAGGGACAGTACATGTCATTTACGGCCCACTGGGTGAACGTGGTGCCGTCACAGCCGCACCAGCAACTTGGACAGGTCACGCCGCTTTTGCCTCCACGTTTGCACGTCCTTGGTCCACAAAAAGATGTCCGCCTCTACCACCTCTTCTTCCTTTGTCCTCAGCCGCCACCCCCGTGCCAAGTCCCATTACCCGACCGGCATATCACATGTGCAGGGCGCAACGGTGTCATGCTGTGCTGCACCTGGTATGCCTTGGCGAACGTAGTCACACAGGGGAGGAACTTCTCAGTGTAATGAACAGAGAAATCGACAGATGGCTGTCTCCGCGCAAACTGAAAATCGGAACCATGTTGACCGACAACGGAAAGAACATGGTGTCTGCTCTGCGTCAAGGAAGGTTGTGCCATGCGCCATGCATGGCTCATGTGTTCAATCTGGTTGTCAAGCGGTTCCTAAAATCCACCATCCCACTGCAAGACATCCTTAAAATGTCACGTAAACTTTGCATGCATTTCAGCCATTCCTACACCGCAAAGCACACCCTCCTTGAGCTGCAGCGGCAGAACGGAATTCCACAGCATCGCCTGATCTGCGACGTTGCAACAAGGTGGAATTCAACCCTACACATGTTAGACCGCCTTTACGAACAGCGAAAGGCCATCACCGATTTCCTGATGTTACAAGCGGATAAAGGTACTCCCCTGTGTAACTTCGATGTCAGCCATTGGCAGCTCATGCGTGACACCTGCCGCTTGCTCAGGCCCTTTGAGGAGGCCACTCTATTCGTGAGTCGGCAGGACTATGGGATGAATGACGTCATTCCTCTGTTGCACGTCCTGGAACAAATGCTGTTAACAATGGCTGGTCAGGGTGCGGTAGACGTGGCGCACAGATCTCAATGCCACATGACCCCTGTGGGGGCAGGACAGGAAGAAGAGGAGGAGGTAGAGGAGGATATTTGTGCTCAGGAATTATTGAGTGAAATGGGTGGTTTTTCCACTCAGCGGACAGGAGTGGAGGAGCAGGAGCATCTGGTAGAGGAGGAGGAGGAGGAGACAGAGGACCCAGACGCACCGTGGCAGTATGCTGTGGAGATGGAGGCAGGGAGTCCCTCGCATTCCTTGGCACAAATGGCCCATAGCATGCTCGGTTGCTTGCGTAGCGACAGCCGAATAATAACCATCAGACAGAGGGATGACTTTTGGCTGTCCACCTTGTTGGACCCTCGCTACCGTTCAAAAATGGTGGCCTTTTTCACACCTGCTGAGAGGGAGGCCAAAATATCGTACTATAAAAACCACCTATGTAGTCAGTTGGTCTCTGCCTTTGTGCGCCAACGTCCATCCTCAGACACTGTGGGCCCTGTGCGCTCTGCTGCCATGGCAGCAGGGGAGGGGTGGGGTGGTAGGAGCAGTGGCAGCTCCACCAGCAGCGGCTGCCTCAGTGTGCAGTCGATGAGGAGTAGCTTTCTTCACCAGCGCAGTGAGGAAACTACTAACCAGCCGCAGCAGCAGCAGCATCAGGTGGACCTGGAGCAGGACCTCAAACAACAGGCTTGGGCCTACTTGGACAGCACCCTGCCAACCGAGGTAGACAATCCCCTTGACTACTGGGCAACGAAACTTGACCTTTGGCCCCAACTAGCTGAATTTGCCCTTGAAAGGCTGTCATGCCCGGGCCAGTAGCGTGGCATCGGAGTGCGTGTTTAGTGCGGCAGGAGGTATTGTAACTCCGCGGAGGACACGACTGTCCACCCAAAGTGTGGAGAGACTCACGTTTGTGAAAATGAATCAGGCGTGGATTAGTCTGGATTTCAAACCACCAGTTCCTGACACAACTGACTAAATCCGCCATGAATCATGCCCCAAACATGTGCCACTTTCAGGTCTCCTCACACTGCTGGTGTGTTCCATTTTTTGTCATAGGGTGCTGGCAGATTACGGGCCTCCCATAGCTGCTGCCAGGCCCCTAATCTGCCATGGGCCCCTGTACCGCCTCCTCATGCTGCTGCCAGGTCCACAGTGTCTCATGGGTCCCTGTACGGCCTCCCATTGCTGCTGTCTCCATCGCCACACTCTGCCATGTGCCACTTTCAGGTCTCCTCACACACTGCTGGTGTGCTCCATTTTTTGTCATAGGGTGCTGGCAGATTACGGGCCTCCCATTGCTGCTGCCAGGCCCTAATCTGCCATGGGCCCCTGTACCGCCTCCTCATGCTGCTG